ACTTTGCTACACTCAGCAAAGTTCAGTTGCATATGTGTGATTGAGATCAGTACATATGAGCATATGCACTTGCCTACACATATACGGCGACATTCACAAGGTGAACATCCGCCGCAAAACTAATTCGAGGTACAAATGCTAAGGCTGGTACACTTAACTTCGGCGGCCTCGTAAATGCGGTTCCGAGAGCATGAACTTACATAGGACGTGCAACTTAGATACGTGTGAATGCATCCTTGTATATATACGTTACACACTATTATACATACATACATGTATGTCTGTAAGCAAATTTTATGTCTACGTGTATGTTTTGCGTATATAATGCAAACAAACCAGTATTTACACATGTAAACATGCACCTCGCCTTCTACCCTATCTATAGGCACATGGTCATACATTGCATATATATATATATATATACTTATACATATATGTGTATTCGCATACCTGTAAGCAAATGTAGTTAAATTCGTCAAGAATCTCGACCACAATACTCTCGCTATATATGGGATCCCACAGTGGGCGCAGAGGCATCGCTCGTACCGTTTCAAACATTTGCGACGCAGGATGCTGCTCAGCCAATATGACAAGGCGGAGAAGAACAGTTAGCAAGCACAACTGTGGATTGGAAACACACCGACCATTCTTACTAAGAATGGGTTTTGCGTATGATGTGATATGATAGGATATGATCGCACTATGATGTCTACCAACAATTGCTGTTCTATGGCAAACAGTACATACGGCTAGCGAGCGATGGCCTGTGTCGGTTACACATGGTGTGCAAGTAGCAATGGTGAATCAGAGTATTAGTCAGTGAGGATTGATGATGAGTAGAAGAAAAGAAAATCTTGACAAGCTGGGATCAATGCGAACGGACATCCACTTGCAATAACAGATGTCACTATGTGAAACACACACATGCAAACAAATCAAAACCAATAACTTATAAAAGATGCTACTACAATAAGCACAAGCATTCAAACACAGATGCCACTACGATAAACACACGCATTCAAACACATCAAAGCCAATACCATCGTAGAATAAGCTACGCATTATTAAAAGCATACGATTGTAAAGATTTTCTCATAATTGACACACAAACACACACACACACACACACATATATATATATAAACTAATGCATTCGTGCTAGCAAACTGAGTGACTAAAGGACGTACCGGCAAGGTACCCTGGGCTTTGATACAGGTTCGACCGGCCTGTTGCTTCATGTATACATTCCATGTTTCTGTCTCCTGCATCGCAAGTGTCCCAAAAGTTAATTTGTTAGAAATGTCCCAACTTTTTTATTTACATCTTCACACATGCGTCTGTATTCTGGAGAGCAAACATTTGGACAGTAGAGCATGTGACGGACAATCGAGGATGCTATCCACATGATGTTAATTGTCTTTGTTTTCTCCATGCAGATATCTATGAAGCTGAGCCAGATACACATACGACACACTTTTGCACACATACACACACGAATGCCCCTAAAACTCAAACATTATAGAGTAACAATACAACACCTAAGGTGCCCAAAACCCCTAAACTATAAACCCGCACACACACATTAATTTGAGCACCACAATAGCCTACACCGCGTGCACGCTCACATACTTTAGTTCAAACACAAGCGACGGTCCACATTGTATAGAATGCCAACTGGCTACTACCACACACAAACACTCCTTATTGGCCACACACAAGCATTGCCCTGAACACACACAACGTTCCACAATGTATAAATATGGGTTCACTTTTCGTTGCTAATTTGCATTCATCAATCACACTACGGCGGCACCAGAGACCAATACGACAAACTTTGGCACACATGCGTTAGCCTAAACACGCACAATTGTATACAGGTCACGTCTATGCATTTTATATGAATACACACGCACACAATTGCACACATCCACATTGTGTATACATGGGTACACATACGCTGCTGACACCCTTTTCCCACCCACTCTTGGACTGGACCAGGTGCATGAGACCGCGGACATTCGATGCGATGATATCGGCCCGTGTGTTGGTGTCGAATGGCACTGTAAGGTTTCTCTCTGTTTTCAGATGTTGGGACAAACGATGGTATGATTGGCAAGAAATATCGGAGCTCCGCAGAATTACTAAACCCTAAATCCAAACCATGAATTCTGACACATGTAAGCGTATAGCGGGTATGGAAGAGTATATGGTGGAACCAGGGATGAGATTGAGTCGTGCCGACGAAAGTTAAACTCAGGTTTAGTACCTCCAAGGTGCAACGAGGTTTATCTCCGAATTATAGTCCCAGCAGCAGTGCATACGGCACGAGTCTATACTATACGATAAAGGTTTGACGGAGATCGAGAAGGTATGTGCAATATACGACACAAGCCTGCAACATATAGGACATGTCGGTTTTAAATCCCAGAAACATGTCTGCGATATACGCGATAAAACTGTAGCATTCGACACAACTTTCTGAAATGCGACATAGCTCTGAATTTTTTTACTGCAGCCCAATATTCGACAACATACTCTAATATACGACAACATTCACCATTAAACGACATCAGTCACCAATATGCAACAATGGTCGCTTATATATAGTCTGTGTTAGATAATGTAGCCGGTTGCGTACCTTTTGATCTTAACACCGCCCGATCAATGGCAACTTTCCTACGGGATGCAGCATCTAGATATCTCCTTTCCTCCTGAAAAACAAGCAAAGAGTAGCAATATTTAAATGCCTACCAATCAGACATCGCCTTCCCAGGTGGGGAGTAAAATCTACTAATAAACACTAATTAGATATCTTTGACTGTCCGGAGAGACGAAATGAATCGTATCAATCTATTTTTAATCACTAATCAGAATCTCCCGTTCCTACAACGATACAGCGAGACGAGTTGTCAATGTGTACAACATTCATACAAATCAGAAAAAACAAAACCATACACACACACGCACCACGTCAATAGTGACCACGATGCATCAACCGGGGAAACTGCTTCTACTCACAAATGTCAGGATGGAGAAAGTAAGCGAACAATGCACACACACACACATACAAACACACATCATCAGAAACACACAAGCACACACACAAACACACTCACCATTTCATTGGTGACTATGACGGATCTAGCTGGCAAGCTGCCTTTGCTCACAAACGTCAGAAAGGCTGAGTTGATGTGTCGAGGCTTCTCGCCAATGGGAAACGCCTCAATTCGCACCCCAACTTCACAGCTCTGATTGAACGACCGATTGACTTGGCAGAAAATGTGAATGCGCTCGCCCAGATGGCCGGGATTGATGAAATGCTGTATCGGTTACAATATATATATATATATATATATGAATATAAATATATACATATATATTATATATACATAATTATACAAT